TGTCACATTACATCTGGATCACCATTTAGCTCACTTAACAACAGATTTCTGACACAGCACAAAGCTCTGGGCTGAGAGATATGCATAGCTCAGACCACTGGGGGTCAGACTGAATTACCGGAAGCACTACAAAGTTGTCGATCGTGCTGTACTGTTCCCTGTTTCCCAGTAGTCTCCCACCTATCATGCTGAGAATACGTAAATGAAGCTTTTGTTCAGACCCTGGGAAGCGAAAAAATGTAACAACTATCTATGCATTCATCGGATCTTGCTTTCCAGTCTGCACTGTATGCTGAGTTGTCAGTACAAAACAATAAACTTGTCTTGTACTGTGTTTTGGCTGCCTTGAATCATGTTATTCACAAATATTTTTGCTGGTGTTTTTTTGTTTCTTACAGCATTATCAGTAAACCCTTGAAACGACCGTGCATGAAAACCTCAGAACTACAACTATTCAAGAGAAGCTACAACTAGCTTACCTCGCATCAACTATTGTGCCACATTCCTGTCACCTAGGTTTATTTATTTTTACCCATTCCAGTGCTCAATTGAACAGTAACTAATTTCAGTGCAGGATTTTGCCTTATCATGGATTCAGACGTTATCAGTGAGCTGATTCCACGAGTGGAACAGCAGAGGAGAAACCTCTGTCTTCCATAGAACAAAGCCTGGTCATGGGTACTACTAGCAGTCCACAGCTAGTGGAATGGAGGGAGTGAGGAGGACAGTAAGCAGATAATCTTTCAGCTGTGTAGTCAGGAGCAGTGTCATGTAGGGCCTTATAGGTAAGAAATAGCATCTTATAACACAGCTAACCAGTACAGATATTTGAAAATGGGTCTAATATGGAGAAGCACAGAGGTAGATAGTAAGTAACCATATACCTGCATTTTGCACAAGTTGCAGTTTATTTAGAGTTTGGGACGGGAGAACAATAAGGGAAGCCTTAAAATAATCAAGACACAAAGAGATAAATGTAAGTTTAAGGTGTTCTTAATCTAAAATGTAAGATATGACCAAATATAGACTATGTTCCTCAAATAAAAGAACGCAGATTGCTGAATTTTGTTAATGTGAGTCAAACAGAAGTGTTGTATTCAAGTTAACCCTGAGGTTTTAACCTGTACAAATTGTCAACAGACAGGGTAACACTGCTGAGTCATCAATGAACATGGGGCAAAAGAGCTACCGCACTTTTTCAGAGTTAAGGGAACTTAAGGGAACTACTATACATCCACACATTAATCTCCTGCAAACAGTTGTTAAAATAGATGGAACATCAGGCTTTGTGCAGATGTACATAGTGAAACTTCCTTTGTTACATGGAGCTGTAAGTGTCCATGCAAGTGTAAGTAAGCTGTAGTCATGATGAGATGAACTTGGTCAGCAGTTTAAATATGTCACACTCTTTGGATGTCTTTCAGTGGGTATCAGGAAAACAGTATTCCTGAAAACAGTATGCCAGGAAAACATGAGCTCTTGACTCATGTTGCTTGCACCGAATTCCAATGCTTACATCGGCATTATTTAAAAGGAACCTGTATTCATCTGACCAGTCATTTTTGTGCATGTGATTTGCTTGGATGTGGCTTGTCTATTTAATTGCATGATTCTGCTTTGACCTATGTGATCCAGAAGCTGTTTTCATCCATAGGATAGCCGATTGCGGCATTGTGGGTAAACGCTTGTGCAAGAAAACTCCAGGAAAACAGCTGTTTAGGAGAAGCTAGAACCAGCACTCCTAGCTCCAACTACAAATTTCAGTAACAAAAGTTGGGACAGTAAAGCAAATGTTGATATAAATACAAAGCAAAGATTAGTAAATTGTGTTAGATATACATCAGCATGCTGCTCCATGAAGTCGCTCCAAAATCTTTCAGCGTTAATGTTGCTTTCACAGATGTGCAAGTTATCTATGTTATGGGAATAAATACAACCCCCATACCAAGACAGACCTTCGCTTTTGAACTTTACACCAGTAACAATCTGGAGGGTCCTTTTCTTCTTTGGCCTGGCAAACACAATGGGCCTCATTCCCCAACTGTTCTCAAGAAGAAAATTCTTCTTGAGACCCACTTACGCTGTTTTTACAAAGATTCTCCCTACTGAAAATACTCATAGAAACCATTCTGTTTCTGCTGGGTCGACATGTTTTCTTACATATTTCTTATTTCCAAGCGGTGGTGGTTTCCATCACAGCAGCATGCCAGATTTTAATGCACTGCTGTCTGAGGGATCGAAGGTCACAGGTATTCAGTTCTGGTTTTTGATCTTGCCCTTTACGCACAGAGATTTCTCCAGATTTCCTGAATTTTTTGATATTATGTACCATAGAGGATGAAATACCGACAATCTTTGCAATTTGTTTGTTGAGGAACATTGGGCCTAATTCACCATCCGTTCCTCAGAGGAAATTTCTGCTTAAAACCCACTTATGCAGTTTTCACAAAGATTTTGACACTATTTGGGATTTGTTCTTAGGTAGTCTGATGTAGGACCTTTCACAAGAACGCATTTAAGGAAAAACTTAGGAAGATATTGGTAAATGAGGCCCAATGTTCTTAAACTATTGGATTATTCACTGATGCATTTTTTTGGTGAAGTGTCAATCCTCGACCCATACTTGCTAATGACCAGGCCTTTACTGGGTACTTGTATGCATGAGTGCATCATCTGTTTAATATCTTTTACAGATTTTATAGTCTTATATTGCCCCTTTCACATTTTTGGAGCGTGTTACAGGTATCAGTTTTAGAATGAGCATATATTTACAAAAAACAATGAAGCTGATAGGATAAACATCTTTTTGTATTTGAATTTATTTAAGTACAGGTCAAAGTGGATTTACAAATCACTGCTTAATGTTTTTATTTACATTTCACATACTGTCCCAACGTTTTAGGAAGTGAGGTTTGTGCATGTTTTTGTCAGTACTCCTCATGTCAGTCTAATGTCATCAAACGTCCATAGTTCCACATTTTTAAATTCAGATGCTGCTATTGACTATGTGCTAATAGAGATAAGACTCAGAGTTTCACAATTCTTTAATTCAAATGCATTCTATTTCTTCCTCTTTGATAAGATATGACTCACAGCTCATGCATTTCCCTCAGTCGTGTGCTGAGAGATCCCTAATGAGCTCACTGTGTTAAAATCAATTGTGAGTATATGTTCTGTGTGTGTGTGAGTGTGAAATCAGCTCAGTGGAGGAGGGAAATGAGATCTCCTCTTTATCTCATTCAGTGGGAGATTACCTCCATATCGTCATGGTCTACGCCCACCATACGATCAGTAGGTCGGTCAGGCAATGCCTCTCTCAGAGCACACTGCCGGCTGCAAACACTGCCTCACTGCCTCTGTTTGTTGATGTGATCAGCAGTAGCAACAACGTCTTGCCTGCTTTCTACTCTGGAGTGAATCGAATGACACTGCAATAGAACAGCACAACAATGATGTAGTGTTTTCACACGTGGTGAGTGAAACGTGATAACGGGGCAAGTTGTCACTGAAAATGCCATTTAACTGTTAACAGCACTACTGCAGCAAGTAGTACAGTACAGAAATGCTGGCACAGAATATCAACTGAGATTAGCATTACATTAAAATGATACAGTTCATTTTCAATAAATGAACAATATATTCATTCAGAGGTGCACATCCACATGACAGCACAAGTCCAACTGGCTAAAGATGTGACGTTCCCTCAAGAGATGGAAGGGTTGTATCCATTACAACATCTTCCTATCCACCCAGATGCACAGCATCCTGTGAGTCACAAACACCAGAGGAACACCTACAGAACAGCTGATGTCCAAGTACCTCTGGAGAATCATCATACTTCCCACTTACAGTAAGGAGTTAGGTACTTTTCTTGGAGTTTCTCTCCAGGGTGTAATGAGGATAATCAGGTTGTTGGTGGAGATTTAAGATAAGTGTAGCTTAAGGGATGGAAAGAAGGGTTAGGGTAAAGTGAAGCTTCAAGTTCACTAAGATCTTATGTCCATGTGCCCAGTGAAAATGCATTTTAGAGTTTTCAAAAAAGCTTAACCTTCAAATTTGTTCGAGGATGTCAACATGAAAACACAACACTGGACACCCAAAGAAGGACCAGATATCCCTCAGATAGGCTTTTTCTTCAGATCCCTTAAAGCATCCCTTAAAAGTTCTCAACCTGGTCCTGAGGATCCCCGCGATGGTCTACATTTTTGCTCCAAACCAACTTGCAACACATAGGAATTAGCATAAAAAAATGTGGACTGTCTGGGGGCCCTGAGGACCAAGTTGCGCCATAAAGGAATTCTCCAGCTTTTTCAACTTAATATCGCTCTGCTGCATCTGTAGCATAAGTAATACCACAAAAAATGTTGATGCTTTTCCTCTTACTTACTATACTATACTTACTATAGAACAGAAAACTCGTTCCACTATAAGTGGAAATCAGCCATACATCACAGGTACGATAGAGCTTAATATTTCTTTAGTGAACGTGTGGTGTGGTGGGTTTGAAAACACACACATTTGGCCATTTAAGGGAGCTGGTGTATTTCATTAAAGGCAGTGTGACGTGTAAATCTTAAATATATGGACAGTCTTCAAATATGCAGATATAATGATATTAATCCAGAAGGGGACTAAAAGGGTGATGATTCTTCTTCTGCAGAATGGTAACCCCATGAATTTCGAGCCATACAGATAAGGTAAAAGTATCAAAAGAGATTTGTCCACTTAAACACCCACAATATTTTCTTGTAAAATCAATATGTTAATGAGAATTCCCGTTAACTAGTCAAAATTCATGCTACATAATCTCTGCTTCTTGCAGGATTATAATTCATTGACACATTGGAAATCATCACATCTTCTGCCCCTGCTTTATTTTAGAAAGTTTAAAAAAATGAGGTAGTACCCATCTCTTACGCACTGCATACACTAGTCAGTGAACTGAATATAGTGTATTAAAAGTGCACGGGTATGAGTGTGCGCTGAAAGTGTGTGGGGGTTTGATGTGTTTGGTGTGAGGGTGGGGGTGTTGTCCCCTTCCCCTTCTCTGCTCTGGGACAGTAGGGCCGGAAAGCCTGAGGTGATTCACTGGTGAGTCAACAGCTATCAACTATAAAGCCCCAGCACTGATGGAGCCTAAGCATGACACAGCTCTCTCACCTAAAGGTAAGACCTCCCTCTCTCTGTACAGCTCTACTGTATGCTGTAGATATTACCTAGGACTCTACACGGTTACTTTACTTTGATATAGAATTAGTATCCAGTGCTTAGATCTGATCAAAATAATGTGATTTAATTATTTTGCAATTATATTGCAGTCTAATCATTGCAACCAAATTCGGGGAAACACAGTGTTGGATTAGTGTTGGAACAGGCAGCTGTACAGGCATTACGTAATAACTATTTGTTCAGGACCAGACTGTCCTTTGACAGATTTTGAAAATCAAATATTGACAGATGAGACACCAGTAACAGAAAACAGAATTACCAAATATTACGGAATTCAAACCACAAGTCAACAGCCTGGTATGCTGATATTTGTTGAAATCAAGACGCTGAAGTGAAAGTGTAGTCATCTTTTTCACTGTTGTTAAATCTCTATATCAATCATTCACAAGTTAATTATAAATAAAATAACTTTGGATGTTTGTAAAAAAAAAAATTGGACAGAATATATAAGCGTAATTTGTAACTGTCAATCTAGATATTAGAATGATATTCATTTCATTTATTGTTTCAGCAATTCAACATACCAATAACTTTTCAAGATCTTTCCATCTCCCATCCACAGCACACAGCAGGAAATAGATGTTAAAGCACTGTTTGTGTTCTTGCAGGTACTGTTGCACTGCTGGACAGGCACACAGCCACTGACACAAGAAGAAAGTATGCACTCATTCCCAGCTCTGCTTTGCTCCTGTGTAGTCAGCATGTTCACTCTCGGCCACGGACTTCCTCTCCCTCCAGATGCTGTGAAAAACTATGTCAAACTGCAGGCTGAAAACATCAGCTCCAGAATCCAGAGGCACAAAGATGAGGTAATGCATGTTATTATTACCTAAAGCCAAAAGAGCTAGAATTACGGTTGGGTAAGTGTGTTAAGAAAAAGAAATTCTATAAAAAGATTTCAAGGACAAATAATTCTTTGCATCATTGTACTAAGTGCATTTAGGTCAGGATTTGATGCTATTATGCTAAAAAATACACAAACATGTCTAACTCAGTGGTGTATCTATTGGTGGCAAAGGAGGCAGTCACACTGTGAACAATTGGCATGAACAACTCACAGAAAAATCTCATTTCTTAACAACATATGGTGCTGTGCAGAAGTTTCAGACCAACGTACATTTATTTAATTTCCAGTCAAAACAGCTTTTAACTACATGTTTTTCTCAGTGTAAACCATTTAACAACCAAATATAATAGATCGTTTGCTTTTATTACAGCTTCCATTATTTTGGGGAGACTTGCTCTCCGCTTTTCACAGAAATCTGCAGGGAAATTTTTCCTTCCAAGTTCAGTCTTAGACGTTGGCTGGATTTTCTGCTTCTCACAATCCAAGTAATCCCAAAAACATTCAATGATGTTGAGGTCTGGACTCTGGGGTGGCCAGTCCATTGCTCTGAGAACAACAGCAGCTTCTTTGATTGATTCGTAAACTTTCTTTTCCTTGGTCTTTTTCTATTTTGTCTGTACTGGCTTCTTGACCGTGATACTGTCAGATCCTCAGCATTGAGACTTCTCACATCTGAAGCAAGAGTGGAGCTTGATCTTCTCCTCTCTCTCAAAGATAAGAGCTTCACATACTGTTAATCTGATGGTGACAGTTTTAGGGGTCTTCCAGGTCTCACGTTGTTGTTGAGTCCTATTTTGCTCTTCCTATTTTAATCATTTTTTGATCTTCAGTTTTGTAAACTCCTTTTTGTTCACTCAATTTCATTTGACTTTCTCCTTTCTTATGAAAGTGGATTAGCCTATCTTATATCTTAATGATCCTTTTGACTGGAAATTAAAATAATGAGGGGTGGTCTCTGACTTTTGCAGTGTATTGTGCCTCAGCAGTTTATCAACTGCTCCCTCTAATTCATAAGGCGTCTCATGCATAGTAACTATTTTCAAATGGACACTTCACAATACGATAAATTCATTACTTATAACTCTAAAAACATCAATAATAGCGAATTACATACTCTATTCCAGCAAACCACATTCACATGAGGGGACATTTTTTTTTGCACTGGGGTTCACAAAATCCTAGTTACACCACTCATTTAACTGTTCACAAATATATACTATAACTAAGTGCATAAACTAAAATAATACATACAATACATACAATTATTACTAATAGTAATAATACAAAAAGTATGTTGTGAATATTTTTTTTCGGAGTGAACTGTGAAGAAGCTTTGTTTGAGCTGCTTTTTTTCTCCCACAGATGCAGATATTGGGTAAGGTGGTCCTGGACGGTCCTGAGTTTCTCCCTGAGCTGCTGTCCGATAAGCCCGTTGAAGGCCTGAGTTCCATGGTGGAGACCCTCAACGCCTTCCAGAAGGTCCTGCACAGCCTACCCAAAGGCCACGTGAGCCAGCTGCACAGCGATGTGTCCACACTGCAGGGCTACCTGGAGAAGAGGATGAGCTCCCTGCAGTGCACCCAGAGGAAAACAGGCACCGAGAAGAGCCTGGAGGCCTTCCTGAAGGACAATGGAACATACTACATCACACTGGGCCATGTGGCTCTGGACAGACTGCAAAAATACTTACAAAAACTTGTACGAAACCTAGACCAGCTGAAAACCTGCTAAAAGCCTGCATCTCCCTGCTGTCCACTATTTTATTATAGTATTTATCGTATTTATTTATAAACATATTTATAAGACCAAAGAACTGCTTTTTTACACAAATGTTTTGAGATGTATACAAAAATGTACTTGTATATGTATTTTAAATGTCTTAAGCTTAGGATTTTAGTGGCCATTGAAACTGTAAGGGCAAAGAATCTGCAAGGCATTCCAATCCGCACATGCGCACACACGCTCACACAGGAAGTGCGCTGACCTCACCACCAGCCAAGCATGCTTAGTGATGTCACACAATCTTACCAGAAGACCTATGACCGATCATGCTGGGAAGCACAAATCCTCGCTCCCCCTCTCTGGAACACCAGCATATATGAACTATGGATCCTGCACTTTGATCATATGTCTTCTGTAAATAGTTTATTAGGGTGAGATACATAAGGTTTTTTGCGACTGTAAATTATTTATTGTAAATGATGTCAGTTTTAAAAATGTGTATTTTTTGTATATTCATAACTAAAAACCTCACTGAAATAAAATACAAAATTATAAGTCATAATTGTTTGCTTGTGATCTTTACTTTCCTACGGCCAACAATATAACAAACCCATCCTATTTGCAAATATTTACACGGTACAGTAGTTTGTGCACCCCTGGTCAATCCACGTTTTGTTGATGTTTTAAGTGAAAATAACATTGTCTACAGAAACACACATTTTAATGCACAATTATTGTTTCATTGCTGAAAATAACATAAATGAAACATAAAATGTGGCCTGTGTGAAAGTTATGGCACGTTTTAACTGTTTTCAGTATGTTAAACTCAACAAATAGAAACTGTGCCCTAAAATTTGCAGACAATTGCCTTCACAAGTTTGTCTCCTGTAGAGGATCTGTTAATTGTTTTCACTTCACTTTCAGAACAGGTCATCTGACCAGGGGTGTATAAACTTTTACATACAACTGTATATCCACCTGGCTGGCTAATAATGCAGCAAACAACCCATTCTGTTGTTGGGTAAAAAAAAAAATCAATAATAATAATAATATTTAAAAATTTAATAATAATTTGCACCTATATTCTAAATGGAGCTGACCCACCAATACATGTTTAGTGTCCAAAGTCTGCTTCCAAATTTTGCACTGCAGTTACAAGGTTAATGCTGTTAGTAAGTAATGGGAGTCCATGTCACACTAAATCTATTCTATTCTATTCTATTCAGGCTTCTGTAATATCACCCATGTAGCTCCACTGCAAAACCTGAAAAGCAAACTTAGGACACTGTGAAAACCGTAAATCAGATTTTTCAGGGACCCATTCCTTTAATGGCCTAAGGGAGAGTGGTCCATAATGTAAAATATGATTAATGGAAGACTGTCTTAAAAGCAAATGTTTTTTTTTTTAAATGCAGATCTAAAATAAACGTGTTTTGTCAGGTACCAGACAGCTTAGAATATAAAGAGCAAGTATTTCTCTTTTTCGCAAGAACTAAAATGAATGAAAGAATGACAAAAAAGACGTGTTTAGCTCCAGCAGAGTAAATATTGATCAATTCTCCGGGATGGTAATGTTTGTGAACTCATCTGGGACAATATGATGTAATACTGGTTTGTAAAGTGTAACTTTGAAAGTGGCAGCAGTTTCTCAGATTACATTACATGTTTTGGTCAAAGGGTGAATGATGCCAGTAAACTCATTTTGTTTACCTAAATATTTATTTGCCATAGTTTTATCAACCAGGTAGACAATATTGCTGGTAACGTACCAGAAGGACTGTTCACAAAGAGCAAAATGACTGGTTAAGTAAGAAACAATGACATAACAAAAATCATCTTTCATATAAAATGCATCATTCCAGAGATGCCAAGTAAAACATATTCAGTCCTCCACTAGCATGTGCTCATTCACACACACATTCTCAGCTGAACCATTTGCTCTTTTTGACGAGTGAACCCTTAGAGCTCGAGGCACCCATGAGCTTGTTCTTGTACTGCTCCACCAGGTTTTCAAAGTGGTCCTTGTCTTTGTTCCAGAACTTTTTCTTCACTGGTTTGGCACTCTGAAACAGGACAAAGTTAAAATCACTTTGCTTGGTAGCCAAGACACTAGAATAATTTACTTATCACTTTCTCTATTAATAAAACACATTTCTACACTGCATTCTTCTAATTCTTCAACATATTTCCAGTCTGTTGGAACTGCAATGGGGCTGATACATCAGTTGGCTCATGATATTCAATATTGGCTGAAATTGACGACCTGTGGTTTTGTAAGTTTTGTCAAAAACAAAGCCTATAATTAACGGATAATTCTCAAGAGTTGAGTTGCCCAGTATTTTTCTTTTAAAGTTTATTTATTTTTTTTTAATCAAAATCATTCTGGGTAGCTTCACCCTGAGTGCTACAGTATTAGTATTACTTAAAGTTCATGTGAAGCAGTAATAAAAACGTAATCCGAGTTTGTTGCACAACAGAAAACTCGGCCAAAGTCATCGGCAAATCGCCAAGTACATAAAATTAGATTTCGACATCATGAAAACATAAGCAGTATTCTCTGCTCTGAGATGCTGGGGGCGTGTCCACTGAGGCACTGAAACCACACCCAATCGTGGGAAAGGTACAGCCCTCTCTCAAGACTTGAGCTTTGTATTTGCTGGTGTGTAACTGCAATGCAGCTTCTCTCACACCAATACGACCTAAAAAATGGATGCTCTGTTAGTAGCTTTATTGGACTGTACAGCCACCACAGCCCCTCTTATTTATGCAAGTCAGCAATAGGTACTGACTGGCACAATCTACCCAAGTAAAGTTAGGCTATCGGTAAACAACATGAAACAAAACATTTTGCAATCGAGGGGGAGAAACACTGTGCTCTAGTTTTTCTACTGTTATAGTATTAGGGGAGGGGACATGCTAAGTATGGCGCCAGTGCATCATTAGCCATCATTAACCTAATAATCTGCTAATAACCCGACTAATAGCTTAATCGGAATACAATACAGCCATGTATACACCGCAATCAGAACAGACTAGTCTGACTGAGGCCAATCAGAATACAATTTCTATCCGATTGAACAAGGTGGGTAACCCTGTAAATAATTTGTTAAATAGAAGAATAATAACCATGTAAACACCTGCATTCAGTCTGTTCTGCGCATGTGTCACATCATAGCAAAAGTTTATATCGTTCAACATGGCGGGAGCAGAAACTGGTCTGCAGAGGAGACAAAGTTTATGCTTTGAACTTTAAAAGACGACGATGGGACTGATGTCCAGCTTACGTGTCTCAGAACATGACGTCTTCCTCTCGCCCCTTTTTGATAAGTACATGCGAAGTACGTTTTCCTGGGTCTGCCATAATTTTAAAGCAATAAAAAAAGCAAAAGCACTGTTTACTACTGCTCGTCTCACTCTGACTAGACTCACGAGATGCTCGTTGTCATAGTAACATCTACAGTAAGTGGTACTCTACGCATATGCGTAAATTTGGATTGGATTACTTGTAGTGCGGAGATGGAGATTTCTATCAGACTGAGTAGAGTGTGCATATAAACACCCCAGTCATAATCTATAATCGGAATGTATTCAATCAATCTGGCAAAAATCTTTGCATGTAAACACAGCCATTGAGCCTCAGTTTCAAGCCCGCCCAAAAAATCCTGAACATAAATACGATGAAAAAGTTTAACAGTCTAACTTCACAATTAAGTACTACATAGTGTCACGTCTTTAGAAATTATTTTCTAACATGTAGAACCTGTTTAGAAACAAATCTCTGAATTTACTTTACATGGTCTTTAAGACTGTGACAACAGAGAATTGACAATCTGTCAGTAAAGCACTGTTTACCTTAAAATCTAAAATATGTATGTAAAATTATACTGGCAGATATTATCGGTTATCAGAATTTTTAGCCCCCTTAAAATCAGTATTGACATCAGCCACAAAATTTTCATACCCTACTCTCGACTGAAGCAAAGAAATACCAGTACACCCGTTATTGTGTAAATATAAACTGTGTTACTCAATGACATGCTGAGCTGTAAACACCTATATGGCTACATGTCAGATGCACAAAAATGTGTTCACCTGTTTCTTATTTTGGTTAGGTTTTGCCAGAGAAAACACTTTTCTATCCTTTCTGCTGGGTCCTTTCTTCACCTTCTTGGACTGAACAGGCTGCTTGCCTTTATCCCTTTGCCTGTTCCAGACAGGGAGATGGACACAGGTCAGTCCAGTTTACATGCACAATTCTCACTGTTAATTGAAATTACACTCTTCCTTCAAATTCTAGCAAAGATGGTGAAACCAAATCAGTACCTGATCTTTGGACCTCTGTGTGAAGGCATAGGAAGAACCTTCTGCCGTTTTTTGCCGTCTTGTAGTTCAACATGTTCCACTTCTGGCGTGGTTCTGAAACCTGAGTAGTGACCACTCTGGACTCCCTTTTTATACTCCATGTTTGTCTTGGCCCCACCTGTCTGCTGTGCTGCAGCTTTACCCTTACCAGGAGACTTCTGCTGAGGCTGCTTGCTTCCTCCTTCCTGTTTTCCAGCTTTTAGCGACTGATTCTGTGGATCAGTGGATAATGGAGATTGATTATTTCCATCACCACTTAGAAATCTAAACAGTTAAACTAATACTGTACATATCTAAGGTGTATATTATTAATGCTGCACTTTGAAATAATAATAATTATTATTATTATTATTATTATTATTATTATTATTATTATTATTATTAAGTGCTGTCAAGTCAAGCAAAAATACACTTTGGGTCTATTTCTTTAGTGTACCGCACGTAGCATGCTAGTAGTTTCTATGCAGAAACAGTAGATAAATGCAATGTCTATGCTGTAATATACAATCTAGGCTAATAAACAAATCAACAATCTCTTTTTAACTCTTTGACAGGTTGACTGAAATCCTTTGAGTAAGTTAATGTTGTGAAGATGTAGAGCGACATCACTTGGTAAGAAAGCCAGCAACAGTCACGGCAGTTGGTCAAGATTTTATTGGTGATCTCTTTATGTGATCTATGTAAAGTTTGTTTACGTAATAAACCGACAATACAGACATTAACATAACGTGAAAACGCAACATAAACAGCAACCGCTCTTGCTTTGCAACGCATGTGTTGTGTCTGATGTAAAATTCCAAGCGTCATGGAGTGGTTCTGGAATAACATGCGTGACGTGAGGCATCTGGTGTGAAATGGGTTTAAGTATAATACTCCAGCAGCAAGTAACCTGCGTCACACAAACAACTCTATTGTTCAATGTTGTTCAATATTGTTCAAATGACGTGATGTACTTTTTTTTAAACGAATAAATAAATTAAAATATAAATCAAATGACATGTCTGTTCTAATTCCAAAATTAAAATTTAAGATTGAAATTGAATCTAAAGGCCTTTAAAACTTAAGCTGGGCGATTTATAGTGTGTGTGTGCGTGCGCGCGCGCGTGTGTGTGTGTGCGTGCGCGCGCGCGTGTGTGTGTGTGTGTGTGTGTGTGTGTGTGTGTGTGTGTGTGTGTATATATATATATATATATATATATA